GTAATACATTTAGTTCGTGAACCCCACACAACGAACTGTTTCGATGTATAGAGAATATAAATCAGAGAGTTTATGAATCGTATAGCCACACCTTTTTTAGCCAAGGGCATTTGACAGGAACAATATTATCTGGATTCAAAGATGTGTCATTTTACGTTCTTATTCATTTCACTGAATAAGCCACTCTTTTGTCTATTTAACACAGCGTGTGACTATATTTATTGAGTGAGTGAGTGAGTTAAGTTTTACACCACTTTCAACAATATTCCAGCAATATCACGGCGGGGGACACTAGAAATGGGCTTCACACATTGTGCCCATGTGGGGAATCGAACCCGGGTCTTCGGCGTGAAGAGCGAACACTTTAACCACTAGGCTACCCCTTCGCCCCAAGAGTACATGTAGTAAAAAGACAAGATTTTCTCAAAAGAAGATCATCTCGAATGACGAATGAATTATCATCTCGAATCATGTTTTATACTTTTGTTGTGTTCCTGTGAAGTCAAATACGCAAGTATTTTTTCTCACTTTAGTACATAAAACAAGGTTCTCTGAAATTGACATAGAAACATTCTCAATTCGTCATATCGAGTGACTATAGTCCAATAACACAAGGCTTTCTCAATTCTCAAGTGTAACTAAACCTGTAGTCCATAAAAGAAAGGTTTTCTGGAATTCACATCTCGAGTGGCTGTAGCAAATAAAATATTTTTTCTTAGTTTGTCATGTCGAGTGATTGTTTTTAATGGTTTTGGATTCCTAAAGAATTTACAAGGCTGCATGGCAAACGTGGTGACTTCAACTATCCAACGACCAACTTTAGCTGTATGTTTACCACAGTTCCAGCCTTTGTTTGAGGTACATGCTCGTTCTCAGAGGATAGAAACTGCGTCATACGAATCTTACATGAACGTTAATTACTACGTAATCAGAGCTGCAATATTTAGGGTATCAGTAACAAATTTCAAAAGGTTTTCCCGGAGACATGTGGGGGTTATTACAAATGTGAGACATCAGTGACGCATATGATGACGTATGCAATTAGTTATTTTGACTGCTGTATGTTACCGTGTTTGAATAAATGACGTGCCTTTGCGTGTATTTGTGAGGGGTGCTATCAGTGGGGCAGAATGTTTTCACCACTTCACCCCTTTACCAGAGACATGAGTGGGTTATTACAAATGTGAGACATCAGTGACGCATGTGATGACGTATGCAATTAGTTATTTGGACTGCTGTATGTTACCGTGCTTGAGTGAATAACATGCCTTTGCGTGTATTTGTGAGGGGTGACATCGGTGGGTCAGGATGCGCTCATCCCTTCATGAACACTCGGTATGATCACTATTTGTAGCGATTCATGAACACCTGGTATGATCACTATTTGTAGCGATTCATGAACACTCGGTATGATCACTATTTGTAGCGATTCATGAACACCTGGTATGATCACTATTTGTAGCGATTCATGAACACCTGGTATGATCACTATTTGTAGCGATTCATGAACACCTGGTATGATCACTATTTGTAGCGATTCATGAACACCTGGTATGATCACTATTTGTAGCGATTCATGAACACCTGGTATGATCACTATTTGTAGCGATTCATGAACGCCGCACTCAGAAATATTCCAGCGGTCTGTAAATAATGGACCAGACAATCCAGTGATCCTGATAGTCACCTCTTTCGGTGCTGAAAGTCACTTCTAACCGTCAGGAATAAGAAATGGTTTTATCGGTCTCAATAAAATTTAATCAAAGTGAGGATCAAAAAGAGGTTCGGCAAATCCTAAACTTTGATCCCGTCTGATACAGCTGGAGTTGCTTATGCTTTTGGGAATGATTCATGTAGTTTTTCAGTAAATAAACACGTTTCGCAATTTGTCCCCGAGAGTGATTTTTAAAGCAGAAAAGACAGTGGCTCGTGGAGTGAGTGAGTGTGTGAGTCGATGTACATGTGAGCCACTTTAGCCGCTGACTTATTATTTTGCCTATTTGATTTTCGTACTGATGCTATCTACCGTCACTTGGAATCCCATCCTTCACGAAACCCACCAATCCCTTAAATTGTAATGAATGAAAATGTCCAAATGTTATGTCACAGCTTAAGATCAACGTTAGACTTTATTTAACCAAACACAAAATGCCAAACAAACAAAGCACATTCACAGATTTAATAAAGAAAAGCAAACAGCAAAACCAAAAATGTTATTAACGTTTACATGTTTGTCATGTCCACATACAAATATAGAACAATGTTATTTCATGCAAAATAGCAGCGTTATTAAATGGCCTATTCTTGTTTCTTGTTTCTTGACTGTGTTGACTTTTCCATTACAAGGGATAAGTATTTCAATGTCAAAACATTGTAATGTTTTAACATTTTAGTAATGCTAATTCTTTTTTAATAATATATTTTTTAAATGAATAGGACTTATTGACAAATTTTGATTGCTATGTATTTTAGATAGATATATATTTATAAATGGAAGTTAGAATTAGTAACAGGGATTGTTAGTGGCTGTATCCTCAAAGGGGGTTAAAGTACTGTAAAAATACTGTCCTCCTGAGAGGATACGTAAGTCCCAAACAAGCAAAGACAATTTAATCTCTCCACTCTTTTTAATCGTAGTACATGTATATGTGTCATTTTAATGTATGGCAAGATTTGTCTAAATTGCTAACAGCTGAAGGGATGGTGTAAATCCGCCTTGGGTCCATGCAGGAAGCACATGTACTGTAAGTCCCCGTGGTCCCTAGTGTGGTGATCTACCTTCAGCTGTTGGCAATATATAACCTGTGTTTACTTTGTGCTGTCATTTATAGTTAAGATGTATTAGAGTTAATTACTAGTTTTAAATTGAAATCTGGGATAAACTAGTTGTTTTACTGTCCTTCGTTGACAGGGTTTATAATTTATCTTTATTCATTATGAAATTATAACTTGTTTTTAGTCACGATATTGCTGAAATATTGTCGATGTGACTTAAAATCCTAACTCACTCACTCACCCTATTCTTGTTTAAGATGAGAGCTTCGCCAGGTATGATATATTTAAGTATAAAAAAATCGTTTCATAGATTGATATAAACTCGGCTTTGAAATAGTGAAAATACTGCACTTTCAGCGATTATAAAAATGATTACAATTTATGCTCTCGCTTACTTTTGGTGTGAGATGTTTTATTTACCTTTATATTTTTCCTATTTTTCAGGAGTATATGAAATATTTATTTCACTGAAAACCGAGATATCATTGCCAAATATTTCTCTGCCCAATTTCTCAAGAGCATACATGATAAAATGTAGTAATCGTTGGCCTTGTCATTTTAGGAGTACAATTCTAATGACCAAAAAAGTTTCTTAATAAAAATATATTGTATATCGACTGAGTGTCTCCGGAAGAAATATACGCATACGTATTCTCAGCCTGGTATATAAAGTTCGTCTGCAACCATTTCTTAGGTAGCATGGTTGGTTGGTTGTTGTTTTACGCCACACTCAGCAATATTCCAGCTGTATGGCGGCAGTCTGTAAATAATCGAGTCTGGACCAGACAATCCAGTGGTCAACAGCATGAGCATCTATCTACGCAACTGGGATACGATGACATGTGTCAACCAAATCAGCGAACCTAATATGGGTTACTGAAGATCAATTCTAACCCGGATCTTCTCGGGTCTCTCCGGAAGAAATATACGCACATGTATATTCAGTCTGGTATATGATGCACGTCTGCTACCATTTCTTAGGACGTATATTTACTAATATATCAAGCACACATGAACCAATATTTCTCACGACGTTTAGACACTATAACTTTAAACACATCAACTAATATTTCTCACGACGTTTATACACTAGGGCATTAAGCACATAAACTTATATTTCTCACGACGTTTATACACTAGGGCATTAAGCACATCAACTAATATTTCTCACGACGTTTATACACTAGGGCATTAAGCACATCAACTAATATTTCTCACGACGTTTATACACTAGGGCATTACACACATCAACTAATGTTTCTCACGACGTTTATACACTAGGGCATTAAGCACATCAACAAATATTTCTCACGGCGTTTATACACTAGGGCATTAAGCATACATATCAACAAATATTTCTCACGACGTTTATATCAATATGGCATTAAGCACATCAACTAATATTTCACATGGCGTTTATACACTAGGGCATTAAGCACATCAACAAATATTTCTCACGACGTTTATACATTAGGGCATTAATCACATCAACAAATATTTCTCACGACGTTTATACACTAGGGCATTAAGCACATCAACTATTATTTCTCAGGACGTATATTTAATAAATATATCTATCACATGAACAGATATTTCTCGGGACGTTTATACACTAGATCTTGAAGCACATCAACTATTATTTCTTACGACACATATACACTGATATATCTAGCAAATCTACCAGTATTTATTCGAATCGTACATATACTAATATCTTTAGCACATCAACTGTTTTTAGGACGTATATTTACTCATATATGTAGCCTATAAACTATTATTTCTTAGCACGTAAATATACTAATAATATATGGAGGACATCCACTAATATTTTTCAGGAAGGATACCAGTTGCTATTCCTCTGGGAGATTAAATTAAATAGTAGCTGCTATTCCTCTCGGAGAGTAAATATAACATCAGCTGCTATTCCTCTGGGAGAGACCTGGGTTCGATTCCCCACATGGGTACAGTGTGTGAAGCCCGTTTCTGGTGTCCCCCGTCGTGATATTGCTGTAACATTACTAAAGGCGGCGTAAAATCCACTTGCTAACTCACTCACTCCTCTGGGGGAGTAAATAAATATCAGCTGCTATTCCTTTGGGAGCATCAATAAAATACCGCTTGCTATTCCTCTTAGAGAGTAAATAAAAAATCACCTGCTATTCCTTTTACAGTGTAGCTAAAATACCACCAGCTATTCATCTTAGAGAGTAGCTAAAAACCCACCTGCTGTTCATCTTAGAGAGTAGATAAAATACCACCTGCTATTCCTCTTAGAGAGTAAATAAAATACCACCTGCTATTCCTCTTAGAGAGTAAATAAAATGCCACCTGCTATTCCTCTTAGAGAGTAGATAAAATACCATCTGCTATTTCTCTGGGAGAGTAGATAAAATACCACCTCCTATTCCTCTTTGAGAGTAAATAAAATGCCACCTGCTATTCCTCTTTGAGAGTAGATAAAATACCACCTGCTATTTCTCTGGGAGAGTAGATAAAATACCACCTGCTATTCCTCTTAGAGAGTAGATAAAATACCACCTGCTATTCCTCTTAGAGGGTAAATAAAATACCACCTGCTATTCCTCTTTGAGAGTATATAAAATACCACCTGCTATTTCTCTGGGAGAGTAGATAAAATACCACCTGCTATTCATCTTAGAGAGTAGATCAAATACCACCTGCTATTCCTCTTAGAGAGTAGATAAAATACCACCTGCTATTCCTCTTAGAGAGTAGATAAAATACCACCTGCTATTCCTCTGGGAGAGTCGATAAAATACCACCTGCTATTCCTCTTAGAGAGTAGATAAAATACCACATGCTATTCCTCTTAGAGAGTAGATAAAATATCACCTGCTATTCCTCTTTGAGAGTAGATAAAATACCACCTGCTATTTCTCTGGGAGAGTAGATAAAATACCACCTGCTATTCCTCTTAGAGAGTAGATAAAATACCACCTGCTATTCCTCTTAGAGAGTAGATAAAATACCACCTGCTATTCCTGTTAGAGAGTAGATAAAATACCACCTGCTATTCCTCTGGGAGAGTAGATAAAATACCACCTGCTATTCCTCTTAGAGAGTAGATAAAATACCACCTGCTATTCCTCTGGGAGAGTCGATAAAATACCACCTGCTATTCCTCTTAGAGAGTAGATAAAATACCACATGCTATTCCTCTTAGAGAGTAGATAAAATACCACCTGCTATTCCTCTTAGAGAGTACATAAAATACCACCTGCTATTCCTCTTAGAGAGTAGATAAAATACCACCTGCTATTCATCTTAGAGAGTAAATAAAATACCACCTGCTATTCCTCTTAGAGCGTAGATAAAATACCACTTGCTATTCCTCTTAGAGAGTATATAAAATACCACCTGCTATTCCTCTTAGAGAGTAGATCAAATACCACCTGCTATTCCTCTTAGAGCGTAGATAAAATACCACTTGCTATTCCTCTTAGAGAGTAGATAAAATACCACCTGCTATTCCTCTTAGAGAGTAGATCAAATACTACCTCCTATTCCTCTGGGAGAGTAGATAAAATACCACCTGCTATTCCTCTTAGAGAGTAGATAAAATACCACATGCTATTCCTCTGGGAGAGTAGATCAAATACCACCTCCTATTCCTCTGGGAGAGTAGATAAAATACCACCTGCTATTCATCTTAGAGAGTAGATAAAATACCACCTGCTATTCCTGTTAGAGAGTAGATAAAATACCAGCTGCTATTCCTGTTAGAGAGTATATAAAATACCACCTGCTATTTCTCTTAGAGAGTAAATAAGATACCACCTGCTATTTCTCTGGGAGAGTGCATGAAATATCACCGCTATTTTTGGGGAGAGTAAGAAAATAAATCAGCTGTTTTTCATCTGGGAGAGTAAATAAAATATCAGCTGCTATTCATCTGGCAAAGTAAATAAAAAAACACCTGCTATTTCTCCTGGAGAGTAAAAGAAATATCAGCTGCTATTCTTCTGGAAGAGTGAATTTAATATCAGCTGGGTTTTTTCGAGGAGATTAAATATAAGATCAGGTGATGTGATGCACGAGGGTGCAAATAGTTTCATAACTACTGTTCTTGGCCATCTTGTGATATTTCACCAACGCTACAACTCTGGCAATGTATATTGTATATTTCTTCTCTGTAAGAAATGTGCATACACAGCAGAATAGAAATATTCTCCAGTACTACTTTTCACCAAAAGTCACATCCTATCCTCATATCCAATTATACATCAACCGTTAGTTGTTACCAGTTCTGTTTTCATTCATATAGGGGCCCTTGAAGATATGGCTTAGAATTGCTCTTCTGCAGCCCAGGCTTGTCATAAAATGTGGATGACACCTGTCATCGTATCCCAGTAACGTAGATCGATGCTCAAGCGGTGGGTTATTGGATTGACCGATCCCGACACAATTAGTTAACCAAGTCAGCGAGCGTGACCACATGATCCCGTTAGTCGCCTCTCATGACAAGCACGGTTTGCTGAAGACCAATTCTAACCCGGATCTTCGTGGGTTTCAGGAAATGATGATATTCTCTGGGCTGTTTTTAATTTCATATTGAGACAGTTTCACCACACAAAACTAAAATATTTTTCAAGGTTTATATCTTAACTAATTTCAGTTACATCACAGAGTATGATCTTGATTAGGAAGGAGATGCTAAAATAATACAGGTCCTAGACCTTAACTACAACACTACAATAATTTCTGTATCTCCGGGGGGATATATACTAAAGACCACGGGTAAACCACGAATTTTAATGCCAAACCGTAAAGATCCTTACACGTCAAGTGATAGTCTGTCGTACAGACCCTGAAGCAAATATATCCAAGAAAGCCCACACAAGTCTAGAAAATGTGGCAAGTCTAGATTCCCTCAGCTTCTGAAAATGAAGAAGGTCTCAGGGCTCCTTTTCATTATATTTTATATTTTTTTACTATGAACTTTTTTCAGTAAAATATGTTTCAGAGACTAGTTGTTAGTCTAGTCAAGTGAGTGAGTGAGTGAGTGAGAGTTTAGTTTAACGCCACTTTTAGCAATATTCGAGCAATATCACGGCGGGGGGACACCAGAAATGGGTCAGCGTGGCGAGCGAACGCCTTACCCATTAGACTATATATCACACCACACTGCTTGTTAAAGAATCAATAGAGAATCAATAGAGTGAGTGAGTTTAGTTTTCAGCAATATTCCAGCTATGTGGCGGCGTTCTGTAAATCATCGAGTCTTGACCAGACAATCCAGTGATCATCAGCATCAGGAGAATGTTTGTCTCCTGTTTTAAAAATCAGTAATTCTAAAGAACACTTCACAACATATAATGGATGAGGAAATGTGTCTGTATTATGTTAACAAACAGGATTCTTATCAGGCGCTTGAGTAAATATAGAGCACTATGATATTAAAAGCAAAATGTCATTGCAACCAAAATGTCATGGTAACAAAAATAAAAACACAAAACACAACAAATATAGTTTTGTACATTTAATTCGAGTCGTTAAGCATGAAATAAAAATTGCCAGTAGTAAATAAAATTTATTTCTGTAAGAGGACTTCTGCACTTACGCCAGGTGCGTTCTTCAGTCGATCAGTCAACGGAAGTTCTGAAACGAAATATATTTCACTGTTAAAATACATCATCAAACTTTCTTTCTGAACCTTCATGCTATTTTCTGTTTGATAGCATATCTCATGCTCTAGGGCGCGGTGGGTAGCCTAGTGGTTAAAGCGTTCGCTCGTCACGCCGAAGGCCCCGGTTCGATTCCCCACATAGGTAAAATATGTGAAGCCCATTTCTGGTGTCCCCCGCCGTGATATTGCTGGAATATTGCTAAAAGCGGCATAAAACCCAACTCACTCACTCTCATGCTCTACAGTTGCGTCCCTTAGGCCCCGATTTCTCAAAACAAACCTAAGTCTGAGTTTTGACTTAAGTTAGAGTTTTTACTCAAATTTGAGAAAACGCAGGAAAATGCATTTCCCAGAATGAACTGAAATCGATATCAAACTCAAACATGGTAGACAATTTGAGTTTGGTTGACAGATTACTTAAGTTGTTTGGGGCTTTTTTATTTTAAAAATGCAGTTGAGTTAAACATTCAGCTGTTTCAAATTGTCAAACTCAGTTTGAAATTTGAGTAAAAATTTAAGTTTGTTTCAAGAAATCGGGGCCAGGTATGCAAGGATCCGATGATTCGGCGACCGCAATCTATCTGGTGAATATCGTTACTGTATTAAACGAATGAGATGTGCATCACTTTGGTCCTCTCTCTCAATGTAAAACTAAACTCACTCGCTTTCTCTCACATCGAGGAGACCGGCCGTGTCATACCTGAAACACTGTACGAACAGGCATCAAGCTCACTCACTCACTCACTCACTCACTCACTCACTCACTCACTCACTCACTCACTCACTCACTAACCTTGAAGACTAGACTTAAGCTAGGCAGTCAATTCATACCCCTTTCTTCAGGTTTGGTTGATTTATTTGTTGTGTAACGTAGCAGGGAAATGAGGGATCGGAGTGTATGAGTTTAGTTTTACGCCGCACTCAGCATTATTCCAGCCTCATGGCGGTGGTCTGTAAATAATCGAATCTGGACCAGACAATCCAGTTATGAACAGCATGAACATCGATCTACACAATTGGGATACGGTGACGTGTGTCAACCAAGTCAGCGAGCCTGACCACCCTATCCCGTTAGTCGCCTCTTACGACAAGCATCGGTTACTGAAGATCAAATCTAACCTCGATTTCCCGGGTCTATTTCAGGGACTATTACTGTTGTCGTTCTTCTGAATTCGTTATTTCTCTTAATAATAACTTTGTTGACAAAAAAAACCAAAAACATTTTTATTAGTAGTATTATATTTCCTTACATGAACGTACACAACTCGGAACAATACAATAAAGTCGGAGTGTACAAAAACAAAATCTGCTCTTTTCTGGAATGGAAAAACTCGCCTTTTGTATTGTACTTGTTTTAGTGGCGGGGGACACGAGAAATGGGCTTCACACATTGTGCCCATGTGGGGAATCGAACCCGGGTCTTCAGCGTGACAATCCAACGCCTTAACCACTAGGCTACCCCACCGCCTTCAGGTTCAAAGGACTACACCGAACATGATACCCTTTCATTATCCTCGCATAATTATCTTGCTTGTATTATCAACATGATAATTGTTGATTTCGTAACGTTTTCGTAAAAAAAAATAAAGTTTTTTTTAATGATATATTAATAGAAAGAACCCCTGCCTTTAATCAGCGGCCTCATATATAAAGATTGGAATGCAAGCAGTGTGCGAAATAGCTTCCAAATTTTGCAAGCGAGACAGGCTAGCTATGCCTGAAAGTCACTAGCCCACAAAATTATTCACTGGCCCGAAATTTGAATGTAAACACGGGTTTCATCATTAAGCTGCTAATATGATGACCATTTTTATCAGGCCATAATCTTGCATGATTTAAAAGTGTATTATAACTTAACAAGTCGGAGAGAGTGATATACATGTATTTACAACATGACCCCATACAAATCCACTAGCCCTTCGGGCCAGTGGCTGTGGAGATTTACTGGCCCGACTGAATTTACTAGCCACGGGCTAGCGGGCCAGTGGCTATTTCGAACACTGAATGCACGTAAACACTGTTAACGACTTAAGCGCACTTCTTCTGTGCTGACCAACAGTTTCTAAAAAAAAGCTCCGTGATTCCTAATCATTTCATTGAGACTGCCTGCAACACGATTTACAAGTACAAAATACTATATATGCTGTGCCACATGTCGTTACTTACATTGTCAATAATCGTTTGTTTGTTTGTTTTTTTGTGGGTTTTTTTGTGTCACAAAGTTTAAAACTGGAGCTATGGGAAGCCTCTTCATCATGTGCACACTCATTGTTCAATATTCCTTCAAAACATATCGCTGAAACAATGGATCAATGGATCTAATTTCCATAAATAAACGAAGAAAAATAAGTTCCGCTTTTGAAGTTTCTCTGTTTATGTATGCGTGAGTTAATGAGAAAGTGGGGCGGTGGGGTAGCCTTGTGGTTAAAACTCATCTTGGGTACAATGTGTGCAGCCCATTTCTGGTGGTGCATAGGCGGATCTAGAGGGGGGTGCAGGGATGCGCACCCTCCCCCCCCCCTTTGTCCTGAAAGTTTATTAAATGACCATTGAAACTCGGGTGAAAATGAAGTGTGCACCCCTCCTTTTCTCAATAGTGTGCACCCCCCTTTTCTCAAAAAGCTGTATCCGCCCCTGTGGTGATATTGCTGGAATAGTGGCGTATACACCAGCTCACTCACACACTAATGAGAAAGTTGAACATATAGGTTTCGCACTGTTACAGCATCCACGCATTGTCGTGACGGGGGACATGGGACCTTCACACATTTTGAAATCGAACCCGACCCGTAATCGAACCGGTGATGAGCCCGCGGCTACTGCCCTCCTAATGACAATCTGAACATACTGATATACTGATACACACCTGCATCGCGTATCTTTATTAATGTCGATATGACGCTTCCAATATCAATCAGTAACTCTATCTTTAATTGACGATGTATATATACTTACGAATATCTTGTTGCAACGGAACAGCTTATGTAAATAGATAGATGAAAAAAATGAATGAAAGAATGAATGAATGTATTCACCTCCATATGTACTGCATCTCATATCATTTGTAATACCGAGATGAAGCTCCTCATATCAGGCAGTACCCATACCTTTGATTGGCGATGTATATATACTTCATGATATCTTTTAACGAAACTGCTTATGTAAATAAATAAATAAATAAATAAATAAATAAATAAATGAATGAATGAATGAATGAATGAATGAATGAATGAATGGATGGATGGATGGATGGATATGGATGGATATATAAATAAATATTTGCTGATATCTCAAAAATATAGTTCAATGTATTCAAGTTGGAATGGTGAAAAAATAATTAAAACCAAAAGCGCCATCTTTGTGATTTGGTTTGGGATATAATCGCATTAGCCGAATTTATTGGCGCTTTTGAATAATGTGTTAAGAACTGATGAAGGTTAGTGAAATATAATCGCATAAACAGATTTTATTGACAAGGAGACAACGTTCTGTTTTATTCGATGGTTTAGTAGTAAATTAATAACTGATGAAATAATTCAAAGATTCGTTCTGTTTAACGTTGTTGTTTAGTTAGGAGTTGCGCTGTACTTTAATATCCTCATTTACTTTAATTTAACAATTTAATTTAAAAACACTGTATATCAGATGGCCATGATGGGTACTATAATCATTCTTGGTTAGTTTTGACTGTCTTAAATCTGTAGATAGAAAGATAATAAATAGTACCGACGGCCGAGGAGGATTTTTTTAAGAAATGAATGTGCGAGTTATCTCCCTTTGAAATACTTGCGCAATAAGATATTTGATGAAAGAATCAAACTGTATACAACAGAGTATCACAAGCATTCGTCTAAAAGATAAAAATAAAGATAAAAAATTTAAATCCATAATTATTTCTGAAAACTCATATAAGTATTGCATTTGAAAGAGGAGATGGATTACCCTGCATAAAACGCGTTCATTTTCTGTTTACGAAATGGCTGTAAAGGTGGGGAATATTCTTTCTTGCTGAGTAAACATGTTCAGTAATATTTAAGATTCATCATAGTGGTCTGTAAATTCACGTAATCAGCCACGCAAACTAATCGTAGGCTGCACGAACAACATCCTACGTCGTCGGGTACGACGCCGCGTAAGGTAAACGCTGTAATCAGAGGGTACGCATATGTGTCGGTCATGCGAGAAGAGTAGAAAACTGTGATCAGAGTCTGTCCAAAATCGCCATTATCAGGTTAAGAGAAAAAAACAACACGTCATAATCTTAGCTGCCTAAAGCATCCAAAACACTGGCATTTAATTGTTTACAATGTCTTGAAAAATTTATCAAAGAGGTCCTTCATTACATGTATATGTATTAGTTTATCATAGACGTTGTAGCAAATATCAAATACGAAATAATAGTATATCCAGATGGACAGTAACATGAATGAACATTTACTGGATATTAAGATAAGAACATCTGAGTTATAATTTCTCATTTCAACTCAGGACTTCATGTAGATGAATTCAAAACGTCAACGCAGATAATAACCTGTTTCGTGTATCTGTCGATTCGTTTGGACGTACACACGGTAAAGTAAACTACGTTTATATAGAACTCAAAAAGATTGTTACGCTTAGTTCGTTTATCCGTATTTCGTTATTCGCATTTCAAATAAAATATAGAGCGAATAAAAATGTCTGTAAAAGTATCGTGTTAGATATTTACCCGAAAATGTCGTAATTACCCTCATGTTCAAATATTTAGGGAATTGATGAGACAAGCGATAAGAATAGACTCTTACGACTTTGTATCTTTCTTAAAAAAGTGTTTGTGCTTCGATCGAAACAAATCTCTGTGAACACATGATCATATCTATTGAAGACGATCTATATTTTCAGTGTGGCGCATGTGCATGTTTTTGTCTAATTGTTTTACACATGTTGTACTGTTGACCTCATGGCAATCAATGCGAAATAAATGATGATGATATAATAAAAATATCCGTCAGTTTGCCATGAGCCCGTTGGTTACAAAAGCAGTTTACTCTATACTGAAGAAAATAAATTACACGAATAGGTCGCTGCAAATCAGATATGACACCAGGTGTTCTCGAGAACGATAATCATGTCTGTTCTACAGGTAGCACCCACTTCACACATGTTTAATCAAAAGTAAGTATATAAAGTAGGCAGGTGTCTTAAATTTCGTTTTGATTCATGCGCAATTAATTCATAATTGAAAATAGAAAATACAAATAATACAATGAGATGCAACATGAAAAATATCATTTCAACGAAAATAGGCATTGACAACGTAGAATTGGCAAAGGTGAATGATGAACGCCCTTTAGGAATAGTGATTTTGAAGTGTGTCTAAAAGCTAATCAAATGCAAACTGACGCATAAACGAAAGGATACCCCTCAGTGTATTATATAATGTGTTAGATTCCGAGGTGAAAATGTCTTAAGTTAACGATATTGTAGCTAAAATGCAATGTGCTGACACACAAAAAGCATTAAATGAACATTTCTACTTATCTTAATTTTCAGAGATATAATTTTATTTAAAACTTTAACAATTAAAAAAATGGTTTACATGATATATAACAGCTGCTGGATGTCTTATACATAGATGTTATCTTTGAAAATCACAAATTTACATTTCAAATATGATGGGCGTCATTTGCTTGTAATTTCATTTCTTGCACACCTTTCACTGAACATATTTCTTTGTATATGGAATTGAAATCCATAGTTAAATTTTACGAATTGACTGAGGAATTGGAGACGGGTAAGTAGACATGATATACTGCATTATTATAACTATCAACTGCTATTTTGATTTAAATCATCTTACAATCTCCATACACTTATTTTGCAACTCATTTTTATATATTGCGAGAAAAACAACTTTCCATTCGTTTAACAATATATCAAGAAATATATCTATTAAATAAGGAATGAAAGTTTACTCATTTTCAAAAAATTAAAATTATGTTTGGTAAAAATCATGTTGAACGTTTGATAAAAAGTACGCCGAAAACACAGTAAGGTTTAAAAAAATGAATAAACAAGCGAAAAGAATATATATGTCCTGTAGGCAGTAATTCTAAAACATATGCATAACATTGTGATCGTTCAGAACAAAAATGACAGACATACGTTTCAAATATATGACTGTACCTTCATTACCCAAATGAAGCGGAACGAAGTTCGGATAATAATTTTGTTTTTAATTTGTTCTTTTTGTGTTTGTGTTCCGTAAAGTGCAATATATTTCTAAGAAATATTTAGTAAATAAATAAATAAATAGATTTGATCAGTTTGATTGGCTATAGATGTGAAAGTATATAATTAATTTCTCATAATCTTTTATTAAACAACAAGTAAATATTGTATTGTATATTGTAAATCATGTCAACGAGTACATGGTTATCTGGGAGCATTACTTTTTTCCGAAATAGTTAGTCTCTGTAGCCAATATACTGCATTGAGCAACGACACGTGTCTATGATAAATTTACGAAAATTAAAAGGCATAAATATAATTATTGAAATTAATTTCAGCAAACTACACCAGGTTTAATGACAATTGTAACATTTTAAGCTACCACAGATATTAGTGTATGAGTGATCACGCGAGACTCATGATTGTGTTTAAATCCTTAGAATAATTATACAAATCAACTTATTTCACTCAATTTCATCATAAATGTAATTCATACAGAAGAAATAAAATTAGAAATATTACTTGTTGATTGTCATTTGCAAATGTTCACGTCAACTTAGTAATAGTACACATATAATATGACCGTCCATGCAGAGATTGGTGTAACAAACACGATTTACGCTGACTGTAAAGTTCCAGTTCTGACATACGCTGCATTTGTATACACTCAGGAGTGATGGAACAATTGAAAACCACTTTGTTTCTATAAAGAATAATTCTAATTATTCCTTAAATCATGATGCAAGCAATTTATTTTTAACTTTTCCCAAACGCCTCGTTTCATCACTTTTGATAATGATTCAAAAGTGCATGCTCGTGGTATTGCAGGATTCGTATATAGACTGTGATTTTGTCAGATATTATTTATGGATGTGGTAAAAGATTTCTCTCTATTCATTCATTAAACCAAGCATTTCATAGTCCGTGACAGAATGAAAAAAGGTATAATAACTTTGTAACATTTATTAATAATAATATACATTTATTGTTATTTATTCTTTCAAGAATCAGTACAGAAGCACATTCCAACTGAGATGGAACGAAGCGAACGCCTTATGGATAATAAGCGAATGTTGATAACTTCCTAACTTTCCCAACTGAAACACATTTAGTGTATCTGTCGTAGGACGTTAATGTGTGTCTATTATTTATTAAAATTCATTAATCTAGAAATGGCAGAATTTCAATTTACCGATGTTGTTCAATGTTCTGATCAAGCTAATATCAAAATTTAATAATGTCAAAATTGTTATGGTATGAGTATAATAAATAAACACTTTGCAGTATATAAATTAATGTGTAAACACAAGGTAATTTCCCTTATTTTATTCATATTTCGCTAAATAATAAAAATCCATTTACATATGGTCATGATCATGTTATGGCCAATGACTCGAAGAGATTCAATAAGATTGTGGAATGGTTTGTGCTGCTCATATTTGTTAATACATATGGTAATTCTTAACGCACATTTGCACGTTCCGTTGAGCACAGTTTAAACATGGCTGGCATTAAATACTGAATACACACACACACACACACACACACACACACACACACACACACACACACACACACACACACACACACACACACACACACACACACACACATATATATATATATATACATATATGTGTGTATGTATGTATGTATATATATGAACGGTCAACTTTAAACGAATTAACTCTAAATTCATGAATTATTTCGACAATCCATTAATTTATGCTTCCACAGATTGCGGTGGTTAACAGCAACACAATATTCGCTTTCTTATGAGCACATACGAGCATGTTCCAGTTTTCTTATGAGCATACCAATCTTACACAATATTGGACCCATTTCAACATTTGCCAAACCTGTGAAACCGCAATCATTTTAGATACTGGGTCACATACAACCGTTTAAAGGTATTTATTAATGAAACATGACAGACATATGATCAATTTATTTTTCTATGCCTGTGTCTTTGACAATTTTGTTCATACATGTGTACATAAACCAGAAGAATATGTTCCATGAATGTTTGTTGACAAGAGTGATTATTCACTTGTATTTACAATCCCATAATTTTAAATGTGTTTGTATGACTGCCAATCAATACATGTTCCGGCACATTTAAGCAGTAAAGAATCTTTTTAAATATAGGTACAAACCTGATTATTTTATGCATATAATTGCATTTAAAACTAGAGCAATGTGTTGGTCACTTCTTATTACATAAGGCCTTTAAATGAAAATGTGCCAGTTTCCCTGATAGTGCAAATATGTCGAGCCAATGATATTGATAATATTTAAATTTTCTGTATTTTAGGGAGATTAATTATTTCCCATGAAATCGATGTAACATGTTTGAAATGTATGCGAATTATTTTACACAAAGGACAGTCTCATAAAAAAAAACTTCATGCGATATCTTGGTTTAGATCCTTCGGCTTTTATCAGTAGACATTTAAAATGTTCATACTATTAATATACTTTCGACCTACCAAAAGGACATTACCTAAAGGCTTGGTATGTTGACATACAAAGCATTGTATATTTGTACGCTTTTTGTTCTGAAGGTGTTTAAATTTCCAGAAAACACACATAGAGAACAGATATGTGTATCTGGTTATGTGGAAAGTACAGTTACAAAATGCCATTCAGGAGAGTATGTTGTTATAATTAAATGACAAAATTTAATACTGACTTACAGTGCATACATATTTGATCATAAAGCCTTCCTTTTTAAATAACAACATGCATTCCTTGAGACATAAACCCCTCTGAATCAACACCTTCTCATTGCATGTACCGGAGCATGTTTCATTATACCTTCATTCAACACATGCATGAACCAATCTGTAAGACGAAAGTGTCATCTTGTACATGTTCTGCAACTTTCGCCAATACGAGTGTCAGGCAGAGTTATATACTGCTATAAATGGATATTCATATCACCTCCACTCTATTTCACCTATGAAACGCAATTACTTAAATCTGACATACACACATCACGTGACTAACGCCAGGGTCAGGGTCACCTGGATCGATGACGGAGGACCGACAGTTGTCTGTAAGTCATTGTAATTGCATATTTTAGTTATAGATATCATTGCATTACACGTAGACACTGGGAAGTACCATATTAATGTAATTAAGATTTACCATAAGACAATCCACGTTTCACTTGCTATACTTCGCAGAATGACGTATGCACATCCAAATGAAACCTAAACATAAGAAGATGGAGATTTTGTTCAGGGTTGTTGATAGGAGGAGTTTAATATGTAAATGTGAGTTTGTAAATAACACTGCTTCTCTTTATGCTCGTTATTATTGTTATTGTTATTATTATTGTTCATTTTTCGTCTCCTAGAACAATAACAAGTGCAGCAGTTGAATCTATTTTGAAAAATGTTTCAGTACGAGCTTGTCCGGTTATATCTTACCATCGTCGTCTTGTGGCTGGATGTTTAGCTTGAATCTTTCCCAGCATAGTGGAGCCACATGCTTAGCAATGTATTCGCACAATCCCACATCATATAGATTCAGGAACGTTTATTCCGTTTAGTTTCTTGATACAGTCTTAATAATAATGCATCGTCGAACACTTTCGGTTAAGATCAAAATTGCTCGAGAATTAAAAAACCCCCAAAAGAACAGTTTGTAGAATTAACATTTTTCATGTGTTTGTTTTAACCATGTATCAATTTCACACTCGAATCTATACTTACTTAATTTATGCATCTATCAAAACATTTTTTATGAATCTATCGGTTTATGCATCTATCAAACAAAAAATGTCTTAATCTCTGAACATCGTAGTTTGAATGCACATGCATTTCAAAAACGTAGATAAAGAATCGATAACGAAAAACACACTTTCTAAATACCAGTTTTCAAAATCATTAATTATGTATTAATGCCTCTACTTTTTCATCAGTTAAACAGGATGCTAGGTAGAATAAGTATGACATGTCATAAAGAGCACTGTATTAAAAAAAATTATTCCGAAATAAAATATCAGCTGTCCTTAAGATCAGTGTTGGTATGGGTAATCTTTCCACCTGAGTTAGGTTCGTATAAAAACATGATTCATCGTATTATTATGATCGAAATCTAGGTAATTCTAATATCCTTCAAACAAAACTTTGTTAGAAAAAGTAAGTATAATACTTTCCCTTTATGTGTTATGTGTTCAGTACAAGATGATAGGTCGATCAATTATATACTGTCTTCATGTTTTTCGGTTTAAAACGTGATTTTATAGTTAAAGTGTTGGTGCATTCTGTAGGCATTTGTTCATGTTTTTGTAAACATTGTTTCACCTTTCATGTTCAGAATACTGTTCACAAATAAGGAACACATGCATAGGACGCGCTCATGACCACTCCCTGTACACCATAAAGGTAATATAAAGATAAATAAATTGAATAATGATACCAATTTCTGCTACTTAAACAATGGATATCGCAGGAATGTGTTCATAGTCCTTTGACGACATTTGGACATTTTGCTGTTCTTCGTCGTGTTAGTTCAGCAGTCTCTACCAACAATACTTAGGGTCTTGTACGTTGAACCGTCTCCATCCGACCTTTGAATTATCTATATTTGTGTAAGAGATAAGACGAAAAGTCTCATTCCAATCTGAATATATCACATATGACAATGCATCAACTTAACAATTTTGTTTTTGATAATAACTTGTATGGATACTGTTTTTAAGCCCTAGGAACATATATAGCAGTATTTTCTTACTCGTCATTCTTCATTACGGGAGGTATGTATTTTAATATTTTAATCGGTATTAAATTTAATGTACTGTTACGATCGCGACCGTAAGTGTCTTTCGTTATGATGTTCAGAGCTGTGATGGTCGTGGGAAGAAAGCAATCTGATCAATTTGCAAAACCAACAAACACCTCGTATATGTTTCTGGTGTTTTCGTATTGAATTTGGTTTCAAGCAAACATTGATGTTTTAAACGTCCATTACAGATAATGATTATCGCTACTGACAACAAAAACATAACAAATAAGCACTGAGGTAAATATCCACAACAACACGAACATGTGTGCATATTTGGACATATGCTTATCAGCTCGACAGAAAAAATAATTTCTTGATGAAATGATTTGATCGTCATTGCACATGATCTTTTCATCACAAATAGAAATTGAGCTCCAACAGTCCAATGTCCTGTTCTTCAAAGCGATCGTAGCGCTACGACTGTCATAAGTCTATGTTAAAGTATGGGAGTTACGATCATCTTAGCGCTACGATCGCTTTGTGGAATGGGGCCCAAATTGGGACGTTGCTATTCTACTCAAAGGAACTTGATGAGAATCACATTCTTTGTCATTACTTCAACTATTCCGTCATTTCATTGAATATAGTATATGTAATATTAACCTTTATCTCTTACCTTAATAACTTTTTAAGTTTTCATACAATGGATATAATGACACCAAACATGAAGAAGTTACATAGTCCTGGTATTTTGGCAACATAGAGCAGTGTTGATTGGTACACAGTTTCCGGAAATCAAGGTAAAAGATCGCCAGAATGCACAGGAGATTGAGTTCGCATGCAATACGATCATTCTAGAAAGTGTTTATCATAATGTATTTAACAGACAAAATTTAAGTACCAATCTGTTATATTTTTTATCCTACATACATTTTAAGAAGAAAATATTTTCTGCAGAAATTAACATTTTTGTATTTATACCTTTCTCGGTGCATATTACGGGTTAATTATCTTGTGCATAATGCAAAGTATGATCACATGTATCAAACTATCGGAAGAACGAAAGTGTCACCTTGTCCTTACTCAGGTACTGTCTTGAAACTACACAAAAAAGGACTGCGAGAAAGCGTTGTTACTGTAAATAGATATCCTATAATCTGACTATCCTCATTCCACCTTGGAAACCCTAGACGGTGCATTTCTTTAGATATCAATGCCTGACAGACCAATTTTAACATTACTCCCAGGTGTAAATGAAAATGCAATTTTAATTTAAGCTAGAGTTAACGCAGTAACAATGATGTCTAAACTATTGACTCCAAAATGGTAGAATTGCAAATCCTAGTCCAGTATTTTGAAATTTGAACTTGATAGTGATGGGAGAAAACATATAGAAAAGTTTTACAGTTTCGTTGTCATGGAAACCAAAGATCAAATGTACATAGAGCTCATGTGTTTTAATGTAAGGTATACGATTACTATTTTCAAACTGTAACTTGAATATTGCCTGAACATTGGAAAACATTACCTGCATAAACACTACGTAAATATGGTTTTACGCATATTGTGTTACAACAGACAAGCAAATGAATGTACATAACTCATAAAGGTCCTGTCCTCATCGACAACAAGCATATTTTGATAAATATTAACATCACAGAAGATTATTCTTTCGAAAAACTCTCCTTCTGTGCATTTTTTGTTCATAAGTATATTGTTGGTTAATAAGATGCTATTCTTTGGACAGACGCTCTTTCTGTTTGTATCTATTGTTCATAAGAAGATTGTTGGTTAATATGACGCTATTTTTTCGACTACTCTATCAACTTATTTTTTCATCTGACTGTTCTGTTCTTGATTATTCGTTAATATGATGTTATTCTTTGAGCCGACACTCTTTCTGTTTATATATTTTTGTTCATCAGTCGATTGTTCGTTGATATGATGTTATTCTTTCCATGACACTCTTTCGACTTATGTTTTGTTTGTGTTTCTGTTCATCACATGGCTGTTCGTTAATTCTTTGGACCGACACTCTTTCTGTATGTATTGTTTTCGTTTTTTTCGTTAATATGATGTTATTCATGACACTCTATCAACTTATTTTTTGTTTTTCTGTTCATCACTTGGCTGTTCATTAACATGATGTTATTCTTCGGACCGACGCCCTTTCTGTTAATATGATGACCTCCAGGTATCTCTGTGCAAAGTAGCAAAGCTATGATTGTTGTTTCAAATTCCGCTTCACCCCGATTGTGTTTCATGGTTTGTCAGCACCATTAGCGTGAGTGAGTGAGTGAGTTTAGTTTTATTCCAGCTATATGGCGGCGGTGCACCTTTAGCAAGGTTGTGAAGGTCTGAGACTTGCATCGGTTCGGACGTTCCACCCATGCTACGTTGACACTGCGTTTAGATGGCTGGAATATCATTCAGAGTGGCGCCAAACTAAGTTCACTCCCTCCCTATTTTTCAAAACTTCTAACCCTGGATTGAAACATTTTGACTACCAACTGTTGGTTTGATATTATTATTTTGTTCTACGGATCAAAGATAGTATGCAGCAGAGAGGGTTCGGGTGATCCTGGCACAGTCAGGCTGGTAAGGCTCATCATCAGCTCAGGGCCCTTGCCACCCTCTACACGCCGCCCAGACAGCGAATGGGACTTTTACCAGGAAATGCTGCCTAGTCGAACCCACCAAGAACTGTCAGGAGAATATGTAGACTTCCCAACACTGCAGACTTCTGCATTTTACAGTGTACTTGGGATGTAAGCGAGACATTTCAAAGGTCCGCATACTTAGCATGCTTTTCCTGAATCTTGCCAATCACATTGCTGTCAAAAGGGACAGAAAATGCAATGATATCAATATACTCATTAGCTTTATCAAAAAGGACAAGATCAGGTTTGTTGCCAGTACTTCTCCTGAGGCTGTACATGGGCCTATTGCAAAGAAGCTTAAAAGCATCATTTTCCATGACGCCCTGGACATGTTCAGGGTCGTACCATGGATGGACCTCGGGGTCAAAGCCACAGGCATGGCGAAGACGATAGTAAAAGCAACGAACCATGCCATCATGTCGTTTAAGATATGCTGTTTGTGCCAAGGAAGGGCATCCACTGACAAGGTGTTGGACAGTCTCTGTACAGTCATTGCACAATCGACACTTCATGCAAATATTCTCTTTAAGAAGCACATTTAGGCGATTGCGAGTGGGACGTGACTGGTCTTGAGCAGCATAAAGGAAGTCCTCAGTTTCACATTTTGGACCAGCTGTCTTCGTCCAGGCGAAGGAGCTGGTTGGATTGCTATTCTGTTCCACAC